AGAAATATTATTGTAAAATCTTGTTACCTAAAGTTGCAACAATCCTATTTCTTTATCAGAAAGTACTTTGCCTTAATGTCTGCTGCTATAAATAACTATGACTGGACTTGGCCTGACCAGAGTTGAGCCAAACAGAAGCAATTAAAGCAACCATTCTGTAATGTTTCATTGTTATTCACACGTTTAAATATTTATTTAAATTGATTTCCACCCTCCGCCCCTCTGCTCTTTCTAGGCTTAAACACCTTGAAATATTGATCCACCCACGTTTTTTTTTAACAGCTGGTCACGATGATGATACGTACTCCTGATGTGTCAATACAGCCGATAAAATTAAACCGAGAGAAACGGAGACATGGACGGTGTGAAATGAGCAGATGGAGATAGCGACCTGATGGTGAGATATCCATGTGGCGCCTGCCTTCAGTCACAGAGATTAAACACATGGCAGAGGAGTAACAGATGTGAAGGCAGATAGAGAACGAGCGCGGAGAAAGGGAATAATTCATGACGGTGGCGGAGCGCACGGAGGTTTGAATCTGGGCTCGACAACGGGCTTCAGCCTGGGCTGTTCTGTTCTGCTTGTGTCAGCCTCTGCTCATCTGATCACCGCGCTACCAAAGGGCAAGATGGGATATCTCACTGCGATATCCCCCAGCATACCCCACAGGCCCAATTAAAAAGCTGAAAAACACAATTCGCCTCCTTCACGCTCAGTTTTTTTTTTTTTTCTCTCCACCATCCTGCCCTCCTTTTTTTGCCTCTTCTCGAGACACGATCGGCTCAGTTTTTCACTCTTTTCCCTCACTGCTCTCTCTCTCTCCAGCTCTCTTTGAATCTCCCCCCTGTTTCTCCCTCAGCCTCTCATCCTCTCATGGGTAATTGGCGAGGGAGATCGAGGCCTCTTGCTGTTAGTGCACTGTATGTACCGTATACAGTATTTGGGCCTTATTTGTATCTCATTACACTTGGTGAGGTTGGATAGGGGGGGAATATTTATAGCAGTGTGTTGTAAAACAGTGCTGCGGTGCACAAAGGGAAAACAGCATCATAAAGTTAATGACTAGGAGACTTAAATAACAAGCAGTCATACTCTTCTGTACAGACGGGTCCACAAGTATGTGATGATGAAAGGGAGACCTTGCAATTGTCCACCACGCTCTGTTTATGCTAAATGTGGATTTTTTTTTTGTTTTGTTTGAAGACAAAGCAGTTAACAGAATGTTTCCATCTGCACAAACTTTGATGTAAAAGTAAGTTTGTGCTTTTGCTGCTGAGCTTCTGTCTAAATGATCTGACCAGAAAGAAAAACGTGACGACTTTTGGTGATATGAATACTGTGCGCTCTCATTATAGTGTGTGAGTCAGAGTTTCTGCAACTGGTAAAAAAAAAAAAAAGTAAAACTAAAAGCTGTCAGTTGATTTTGGAGTTTATGGGAGGAAACCAGGCACTTATATGATGCAATGCAAACCCAACAGACTTCTGGAAGGTAACTGGGTGAAGAATATATACATAAGGTTGGTTTATAATGACTTTTAGACTCGGCTGTTTTAAAAACTTTGGACAGATAAGCATGCAGGACATTCATGGTCCCCAGAGAATGAATCATATCGTCCTTCTGCTGCCACAAGTAGTTCAAAGTTTTCCCTGTGACATATCTCACCATTTAAATCTGGATCAAGATGATGTAATCTCTAAAACTTTGGTGACACCCAGCCACCATAAGTTTTGTAGTTTTATATTTTGGTCAACAGCTGTTAGGTTTTTAGCATGTCCTGATGCATCCAGATTGATTGTAAAGAGTCTGGACAGCAAAAAAAAAAAAGACATGAAATTAGATTTTTTTTTCTTTTGGCAAATTCAATCCAAATCACCTTGCAGACAATCTGGGCACCCAAATCAGATTCCAAACATGACACACAATGAAAATGCAACAAGGATAGGCACCAAAACTAAATTGCCTGTTTGCGCTTTTGGCCCATGCATCTGTACAGGCAAAGCTGGAAGGAATCTACCAGAGTGACCACAGATGTCTGCATCATTAACACAAAAACCCATGCAGATAGCCTGGATGCACAAATCCGATCCGGTCATCTGCAACTAACAATATTCTAAATATCGTATTTGCCTACAGTCTGAGCAAAGCCTAAGTTCAAGCAAAAAAAAAAAAAAAAGGTTCTTTTTTGTTTTTTTTAAAGCATTTTGGAGTGTGTGACTCTTTTGAAATGTTTAAAGCGTGATGCCCTAACTATACAAAAACATACAAAACAACAGCTGTCATAATTGAATGTGTTGCATTTCTAATAGCTGTATTCCTGAGTGTGGAAATGATTTCATGTTCCCACAAACTAAAAATTAAAAATCAAACCACTCACTACAACAACCTCTGCTTGGATCAGGAATGCTTTGACTTAATTTATGCATCTCATGTGCAATCAGTGTTTTTGCCTGGCTGTCAGACAAATATCAGTTTGGGGATAATAATGTTCAAAATTTTTGCAAAGCTTGATGAATTTAAAAAACAACAGGCACATTTTTATCCATTTTAACAAATACTTTAAGAGCCGCTTGCTCCCGATACAGTTCATTTTCATTTGCTGCGGTTTGCTACTAAGTGCACAGAATTGAGAGGCGGATCTTGATGGGTTGCGATCGCCCAAAAATGCACACTGGCCATCTTTACATCATCCTGAAAGCCCTGCAGGGGCATCGCAGAGAGGACCAACACCACTGCCAGTGTGTTTGTCTTTTAATAGGAACTCCGTCGCAGAGCTTATTTGCCCCAAAGACTGTGGATTCTTATAAGGGTCTGTAGTGATAAATGTGCGTTGCTGAGGAGGAATATTACCTGCCCACATGATGAGCACCACTACAATGATGATGAGTTCTCCGGCCCTCAGCTGGGCAGCCTGACCAACCTCCTCCATCATCACCTCGTCTGGAGAGAGAACACACACACACACACACACATACAGAGTCAACAAAATGCCGCTGAGGACACTGCGATTCATTGTCCCAGAGAGCAACTGTGAAATTGCCATCACTCCGAAGCTCTGCGGGGAAAGATAAAAGAATCAAACAGGGTGACAGGAGAAAAGAGAGGGCCGACTGGTGTAAATTCTCCTCTCTGGTCAGTGTAATTAAAGCTAAGTGAGAGCAGAGGTCCGCAGAGACAGACAGAGCTGGATCCCTACCCAATCACTCACTGTGTTTCTCTTGCTGATAGCACTCTGGCAGCCGCAGCATAACACCAATCACAGGGTTAAAGGTTTGAACACATTCTGGACTACAACCTCTCTGTTGCCAACAGGACTTGCGCTACCTCCCACAACACCCTCCCCGCCCCTCTTTGGACAAACTGCATCCAGCAGTTTCCCCCCCTGGCTCAGCATTTTATCTAAAGGGCCGAAAAAACTGAAAAAAAAAGAGAGATATCGTTGTCACTGCTTTGTCTGCATCTTGAGGTGATATATATATCCTCGTAGGACGTGCTGACCACACAGCATCGGTCTTTAACATAACACTACTGTTCAGTTCCCACAGAAATCCAAACTTCACTGCAGAATGAGGTAAAATACGACTACAGAGCAGTACAACACTTTCCTGATAATATGACATGGTGTTGCATCTAATTTCGTCATTACATTTAGAAGTGAGCAGAATACTAATACATTAAGCAGGCTCGCAAATCAATGTTTTTTATGGACAACTGACACATTTATGATGACGGGCTGCTTGATGGGAATTTTCTGACTTGCCTATCAAATGACTGAAGACTAATGAATGCCAAAACTTTATGATAGATCTCACCACCGGTCATGCAGGTTTGCCACTAGCTCTACAAGCTGAAGGTTTTACTTTGAAACAAGATCAGGGCACTTTGATCTCTTTGAGGGGACGAGTCTGGGCTCTTTAGGACATGGTTTTGTTTGTCTGGATGAAATGCTGAAGATGTTCTCGATGCTTCCCTGATTGCGCTCAAGTCTCCTGTTGCCATGGTGATCCCTCTGAGCTAAAACTGAGGCCTCAGGCAAGATAGAGGAGAGAGGTTTGAGTCTAATAAGTTGGTAATTCTCTATTATGCGTTATATGGTGAAGGTAGACCTCTTGGTACTGTAGATGTGAAGTTGTGAGATGACGTCTACAGACTGCTTTGTGGATGTGAAGTCACCGTTGTGGACTTGAGGACATCGCCTTGGCAAGTGTGGATATCGAAAGCATCAAGCGTTAGAGATGTGCATCTCGACTGATGTTCTGATTAAAGCCCTTACACCAGGGGTGTCCAATCCTGGTCCTCGAGGGCCACAATCCTGCATGTTTTAGATGTTTCCCTCTTCCAACACACCTGATTCTAATGATCAGGATCGTTATCAGGCTTCTGCAGAGCTTGATGATGAGCTGATCATTTGAATCAGGTGTGTTGGAAGAGACAAACATCTAAAACATGCAGGATTGGACACCCCTGCCTTACACAAACACGCTGCTTCACTTCTTTCATAACCGTATCTGACCCAGTTTTGTCTTCAGAACAGCCTTAATTCTTGATCACATTGATTTAAGAAGGTGCTGGTAACATTCCTCTGAGGTTTTGCTCTATGCTGACATGATAAGACATGAAAGTTGTTGCAGATTCATGGGCAACACCTTCTGCATCATCTCAAAGGTGTTCTGTTTGACTGAGTACAGAAAACTTACTGTGATGTTCAAAAACTAACCTGGCAGGTTGTCCTGCTGAAGGTAAGCAGTGGAAAACGGTACAATGTGCTCATTAAGGGATGGATATAATCAGTCACAAAACCTAGACAGGACATTTAGTTGGTACTAAGGGGTCCTAAAGGCCACAAAACTCTCCACCAGACCATTGCACCACCACCACTATTCCAATATTCCACGTTCATGTTGTTTATGCCAAATTCTGACTCTACCATCCAGCTGAAATTAGGACTCATCAGACCTGGGAAATGTTTTTGTGTGATTTTGTTAAACCCAGTAAGCCCACAGTTTCCTCTGCTGCTGTAACAACTACTTCAGGGCTCGACATGTCGTGTGTTCAGAAATGGTTTTCTGCATAAGTAAGTTTGTAGTGAGCGGTTATTTGCCTTTCTATCAGCTCAAAACAGTCTGACCATACTTACTCTGAAGGCATTTTCACCCACTGAAACGTATGAATGTGTAAAAATCACAAGCAGTTTGTTCGTCCTTTAACCAGCCTGTGTGACGTGAACAACCACGTCACATGCAAAGTCACTTCAGTGATCTCTCTTGAATCTCCATTCTCCATCCTCTTGACTTACATGACTTTCTGATCAGATATTTTCTTGAACAAGCAGTTCAATAGATGTACCTAATGAAGTGCCAGTGAGTGCATATTGCAGGAATTTTACTTATTTTACAGCCATGGTACTTGTTTGTCAAATATAGCACTTTGCTTTCAGTTCTGTGACATTGGACTTTTGTGTGCAGGAGCAACACAGAAAGGAAGCAAACTGAGCAGGATTCATGCAACAAAGCAACTGGAGAGTAGCTTTAATAAGGTTTTAAACAAATGATTAGATCTTTATCTAACCTTGTTTCATATCTGACCCCAATAAATGATATTACAATTGTTATTTTTTAAACATTATTCTAAACTAAATTCCAAAAATGCCTTTTACTAATTTTATACTGCTACTATTATATTAATCCTCTCTATAAATGTAATCGTATGTGGTCATAATTGGGACTGATTGCAGAACCGGTGCGTACGGTCTCATTAAGGTAAAAACTCCACTGCAGCTGTACTGAGAGGAACCACAAGCTGTGGTTTCACTGGGAATCTTCCACACTGTATGCGAATGAGTGCAACTGCCTGCTGCTGCAGAGCAACACAACGCTCAGCAGACTGTCAGAGATAAATTAAAGGTTGGAACGTTTCCGACAGTGAGGAGGCTTTGTAATATTTTACTGCTGTAAAAGACTGATGGAAAAAAATTGCGCTTTTCAGCTCCCTGTTTCATGTAATAACCAACATAAAAACATTACACCTCAACTAAAGATTTGATCACATTACAAAAACGTCAGTGCGTTCACAACTCCTGCAATATTTTTTTTTTTTTACTGTGTTTGCATTTGAGCTACATCCAGAAAGAACAATAAAAAGACTGACAGAAACACAGACAGGCTGCGTGTTTTGTTGCGTTGCATCGTGCCTACAAATACCAAATCATGTCAGGCTGATTAATACCTGCTTAGAGGGGGAGGAGAGCAATAAGGGCTGTGAGATTTAATCAGGACACCTAATGAATGCTTCCACCAACACGCACAATTTGCACACAGGGAACTTCCAACAAAGTCAGAGCCCCTCAACATCAAGATAAATTGTTCCACTAAACACCGACGTCACATAACCTGCAAAGTACAGCAACAAAAACAAAAGCTTGGCTCGCTATCAAGACTTAACACCTTTATTTTCTTTACATGCTTGGAAACATTAGCCACAAGTTAGCTCAAATTTTTGGTGCTAAATCTCCATCATCACGGCACCATTTCTAACAATCAAACATTCATATAACAGTGTGTCGGTACTTCAGTTCTTCTCTGTTGATGATATGGAATTTGTAAAGGGGGGTTGTTTTCTGACCAGTTTCTGACTTACTGTTACTAAGGTGATGTCTGCTGTGCACAGTAGACACCAGAGTTTCATGAACTGATTATGAATCACTCCATTAATCTATCAATTAGCAACTGCCCTCTCAGTCTCAAAACAACAAATGTCCAATCATGTCAACTTTAACAAGGCAAACATGCATAGCAAGACTGATTTTAAGTCCTTAAAGCATTTATTTCAAATCATAAACTACCACAGCAAGGATCAGATTATTTGTTTTGCACTGTAACAACGGCTAAAGTCACTGACATGTCTGGCATAAATGCTACACTAAAATGTATTATAACACGTGCACTGGCTGGAGGTTTTCAAGAATCACAGAAGACTTTATCAACTTTTACTAGCTAGACCCCCACAATGCTTTCTGTCTGCAAACACTGAACTGAACCTTCTCTGGTAGTATTAAACAGTACACCATTTTTGTGTAGTGTACATATATATATATGTGTGTGTGTATATTGTTGTGTATAAATATATTATATCATGTGTGAAGTATAGTCCTTAAGGTTTAAAATAGAAAATAAGTTACATATATGCATGTAGTCATGAAATGTCTTCTTTTGAAGAAGTTGCTTGGGTCTGTTTCTTTTATGGTTTCACAGGACAAGCAACAGACGGAGGAAAAGAAGTCCGTATAAGGATGCAACCATTCAGTGTGATGAAGATGGGCCCCAATCAGTTGTTTTACGACCTGAACAGGCATCACGTGACTTAGTAGTAAAAAAGAAGGGTCAGAGGCAACAGGAGTGGTCCTGCTCTGTCTGATGCCAGGGAGAGTTTGACCCAGAGCTCTGTAGTGCAATATTCAATGTGTAATTAAATTGATTGATTGAGACCGAACTGAATCCGATCTCATCTTTAGAAACAAACACGCGGAGAAAGACAGTTTTCTTCAATAATATATATATATATATTCCTGTCTCTCTTCAGCTGTCCCTATCTGATATGGGGCAAAAAACCTTCACCAGCACAACAACAGTGCAGCATTTCTCATATTGGGAAACAGAGTTCAGGTTACATTAGAATTCATTGAATTTTGTTTTACACAGTAGCAATCTTGGCCACACTCCCTAACAAAGGTAGAATCTGCCAAACACTTTGGTTAGTCTTCATCACAATACTGCTAAAAATCCTTTATTTACATGTGTAACTCTATTTACCAACTCATGCAGCAATCAATAACTAAATTAGCCAGCTAGCTGCAGAGGATGACATCTCTCTGTAAAGCTTCTCATTTCTGTAAGTGTGATGAGTCATTGTAGATTATAAGTGATGCGTCTGTTTTTGTCTACCTGTCAGAAATCAGGACACAGCTGTTGAAAAAAAATTGTTTTACAAATTCCAGGTAAAAGATTTGCCCATTATCAAAAAGATGCCTTTTGCCAGACTTGTGAAAATTCTCTGAATTGTTACTGCAGAATAAAACTAAATGACTTAAGCAATTGTACAACGCACATATATCACTCTTGAACACATTTCCCCCTCACAGGGCCCTCAAGCTCCCACACGGTGACGTTTCCAGGGGAATGCATCGCTCCCTAATGTCTCCTGTTTCCTTTCTTATCACCTTGCTGCTGATGAACGTTTAGCATTTGCTGTGTCCCTCTGAAGCAGCTGCTTTTGGCACTGTAACTGGGTCGGACATGATAAAATTGGAAGTACTGCAAGTCGCTCCAGATAACAGCGAGGCTCTGCGTTTGAGAGTGAGAACAATATAAATGGCATGGGAGGTGGGAGGGTTTCTCACAAAGATGGCAATTTTGTGTGTTTTATTTGTATTAAACTGTCAAATAACCATTTTCTTTGTCCTGGGGAAGCATAAACACAACATTATCCCTCTCTGCTGGGTTACTGTCTGCACTAAGAAGATGCTAAAATCTGTATGTACCTGTACCTACATGCATAGATGTACGTGTGAATTTGTACATGTAGATTCGTGTGTGTCAGCAAGGGAAATACATGAATGTTTATTTAACGTCCTCTGAGCATCCCTTTATAAATGCATGATTGCCTCACTTTCTGTATGGGTTTACTTACATCTGTATGTTCTTGTATGCATTGAATTTTAATTATCTACTTATACATGTGTGTTTGCAGCATGTGCAGCATAAATAAAAGCTCATACCCAAGGTGTATGGCTTTTCACTGAAACATGATGTATTCATGACCTAAAGGGGTTTTGCACACATAAATGTGCACATGGAACCAAGAGAAACCCTGATCACAGTAGTTTGCATTCATGAGCTCGACTGTATGTAAGACAGAAGTGCCGGTGCTGAATGTGCTCCAGTGTCCCTTCAAGTTGGTGAAACAAGAACTGTTTGTATTCAGATTTGTGTTAATAATTAAAATAAACAAATTCTTGTGATTGTCTCTCACCAGGACTCTTGGACGCCATCTTCTCTGACTCTTTAGGCGTTCTGAATAGCACGGGCTGACTGGGGGGGCTGCTTCCTCCCATGCTAATGCTCTGGACGTGGACGATGTACTCGGTGTCCTCGTCCAGATCCCAAAGTGCACAGGAGCGTGTGGTGGTGTTCACCTCCTGGATGAACCTCAACATTCGTACATCCTTCTTCTGCAGCCACACACCAAACAGAAAAGCAAAAATAAGAAAAATCAGCATTATAGATGTGAAAAGTTGATTTTGAAATTGTAGATTTTCCCCCAACATACAAAAAAAAAAAACCCTCTTGCCCCAAAAACGTTGACATTTCAAGATAATACTGCCATGAACAACAACAATATCATTTCAACTGAAACCCCAGGTTTAGCTTTATTCTGCTCCCTCATAGCAATGCTTTCTTTTTCCTTTTTAGTAAGAATTCCCCAGATGCATGCTTTATCGAATGCAGCTTCCTGGTGGCAAAGTCCAATTTTCCTGGTTAGGGCTGATATGGTGCAAATGCGTACACGTCTCTCTTGGTTTACAGTTGGGGAAAAAGCTGCAAAAAAAAAAGCCTCCTGGGAGTTTTTTCTACAATGTAATTAAGCTTTAAGAAAGAGAGTGCTTCTCTGGCCATGTATACTCTGCTAGAAATGTACATTATTATCCAGCTAAGGCTGCTTGCTCAGGTCAGTTGGTTTCCTGTTAGATTAAGAGTCAGGTTCCTTGGGGGCATTTATATTTACCAGGCAATTAAAGAGGGGGAATTTATTAAACCTTAAAAGCGTCATGTAGACAAAACGTACATCTGAAAGTGTACCTCTAACTGCTGTACGAATTGAACTTGCAGCCTTGAGCCTTTTCGTTTATTTTAGGAAAATCAGTGGATTCAAAGTCTGACATTGCATTTTTTAAGCACCATTAAAAGCACGCCGATTTACCTATTAGGTGTTCCTGTTTGCAATGTACCCGCCGTTGTACAGACAATTATCCCCGGATTAGTTTGACGCTAAAGAAAAGTTAAAAACTCGACAATTCTCAGGCGAGCTCTAAAGCCATTCTGTGATTTCTAAGCGGATTCATGGACGTCATTTAGTCCATCAAAAATAATATTTTCAGAGTCACTTTGGAAAACATGTCTGTTCGTTAATGTGCTCAAAGTTGAGACTGACTTTACGTCTTAGTCATCCAGGTCATGGCAATCCTAAGTGTTTGTCTTTTCTAGTCTTGAAGACGTTTCACCTCTCATCCAAGACTCTTCCTCAGCTCTTACCGGAAATCACACAGCCGACACACACAGAGCAACACCTGTCCCAACTGGGCCTTCATTAGGTCAGCAAAGAGATACGGAAATAAAGACATCAAACAGAGAAGAAACGAGGAACAGGGAAAACAACACTGTCGTCCCATATGATGCTCGTGTGGCTCAGAAACACAACATGCTCTTCAGACTCAGCAGCACCTCATCCAAACACAAACTGAGCAACACTGTATGTGCAGTCCAATGAAGTGAGGAGTGCACTGACCTATATATAGGGGGGACTAAACAAAAACTCCACAAGTGCATGGCAAACACAGGAGAACCAGCTCCTTGAATCTAAAAGATAGGAGACAGATGGTTTGAGAGAAGAATGAGGGAAGCAATCTATGTTTAGAGAGGTCTCCAACACCACTTGTCAGCTACTTGTAATGCAGTTTGCACAAGACAGTTCTGTAGCTATTAACACCTCGAGGTATATAAACCATGGATTGTTAATGGGCCCTGAGTCGTGTGATTTGTGGATGAGAATAAACACCGAAGACTCCCCACGAGCCAGTGGGAGCTGAGGAAGCCTCTCGGATGACAGACGAAACATGAACTCCAATTTCTGACTTTTTTTCCCTCCACACATAAGCACACAACACACACACACATAGGTACCTGTTGGGTGATGGCAAATCCAATGACGGGGTCTCCCTCCAAGATCTCCCATGTCACCACGGCGGAGTTGACCTCGAGCTCTCTGATGGTCACATTGAGCGGAGCTGACAGCAGGGTGTCTGACACACACGCACATGTACAGCCAGAGGAAACAAATTACAAGAGACAGGTCATAAATATTCTATCTTTACACCTTGTAATAGATACAAGAGATGCCACGACGTCGACCAGAGCGCACGTTGTCCCCCTCTCCATCATTCTCTCTTTGAACTCGGCGTTCTCTTGGCGCTCTCTCTCTCTCTCAGCCCGCCTTCCCAAAGATTTCCTTTTCACCTCTCACAAATTAATCTTTCTCCTTTTCATTAATACCAGGCCTAATTAACCACAAACAGGCCTCTTGGTGTTTCCCTTGAAAAGCCACCTCTTCTCATCTGTCTTTGTTTTGGTGTTTCTCTCTGTCTCTCGCACACACACACACATTTTCCCATCTTTACCTTCGTCTCTCTTCTTTCTCGCCGGCACACATCTCATTAAAGCGTGACTCATGAGGATATATTTCCTCTGTCGCACTGACAATTGATGTTTGTGCTATAAAAAATCGCATCCCAGAATTAACTATGATGGATTAAATTACACTCCTGCTCAACTTTTTTTTTTTTTCTTTCATTTCTAAGCTGCACAAAGTGTAAGTGTGTGTGGTTTGCGTGTGTGTGTGTGGGCAGGTCTCACAGGGAAAGTGTGTGTGTTTGTGCGTAAGCTAAGACCAACTCAAGGTCTTCTATGATCAGAGTCAGAGCTGTATTTCCCATGAGCTTCAGTTGTAAAAGCCACGTCAGAGTCAGACCTTGACATTGTACGAGAACACACACATGACTGCTCTTGTGAGGTAACACACACACACACACACACACACACAGGACTGGCAATAAAATGTACATTTATCTATTCTGTGCGATACATACAACAGATGGACAGGCACACATACAAATTCTACTTTATTTAAATGATTTGTTGTATTCTAAACTCTCCTCTAAAAAAAAAAGATTGTTCCAACAGCGCTATCTAAGAGAGAAAATGTACAGTTTAATAAACAGATACCATACACATCTTTTTTTTTAACCTTTTTCTTAAAGCAGCTATAATGAAGATTGGTATATTAATAATGGCTCACATGGACCAGTTGTGTAGCAAAAGGACTCAGTCATAGCGATGAACACAGTTTAAATTTCCACTTAACTCTGCAGTGAACTAACATCTCTATGAAGTAGAGCATCTTTTGCATCATCCAGCTGGTTGTTGTGGTTTTCTGGCCTGTAGCAATCAGCAAATGAACATGGTGGAAGACTAAGCAGCTACTGTTAAGAAACATGCTAAAGCAGCTCTGTACATGCTGGATGTGTCAGTAAGTAGTTTACTTTTAGATGACAGAAGCAGCTGTAGCCAAACAGCAGTCAGTTGCTGTTAGGATATTGTTACCCAGCAAACATCCCTGTTTGGGTTCCATGTTGGGGCCACTGAGGGCTGAAAATTGGGTCCCATGTGGGTTTTCCACTAGAGGCACAC